TTAGACATTTTAAGCCTAAAACCATTTGATTTAAAATCAGAAGCCTCTGCAGAATCTGCAGACACCCTGACCATTTCTAGTCTGTACCTCTGATCCACTGTGCACGGGGCGGAGCTTGGATGTTGAGCAGCTTCTCCACAGCCAGAGAGTAGGCCTGCTCATTACACATCATGGAAACATAGTCCAGACGGTCAAAGTAGGGCAGAGCCTGAAGTATAAAAAGAAGAGGAACTGAAGCTTATTGGGTAAGGGACTTCGATTAATTATGTCAGACCACTTAGGTGAGGTCCTCTTAATTTATCGTTGATGAATTCAGTTGATGGCAAGAGTTTAATTTAGTGCTCTTGCACCACCTAGTTAATAAATAATCATTGATCACAATAAATCCAGCTCAGGTAGTATTCATTCCCCACAGTATGTCGTGTTAACCAAAATAAAAAACATATGGTGTGTTGCAATTTACTGTCCTAAACCAAGAGCAGCGCCACTGATTCTACACTTCCTGTTTTCACAACCTTCTGAATGCGATTACATACAGTATGGGCTATTCAAGCCACTTCCTGATAAATATGAGTGACAGAATGCAGAAACAGGCCTGCCCACCATGGGAAGATATTCTGAGTAGCAGTCTAACATTAAGTTCATACACTTTGCACTACATTAGAGGAGCCAAAGGTATAGCTAAATTAAGATTAGCTTCATGTTGCCAATTTTAAAATTACACGTACGTATAAATATACAGTATAGAAAATTTAAATAGTGTATGAAAAATTGGGAACAGTTTCCATAATGAAAGCATTTACTTTGATAGTAGTACCTTTTGCTGCCAATACAGTCCTTTAACTTAAGTAAGAATGCAGGGCTTTTTCTTGGAGTATGTAATGGAGTAATATTTACATTGTTGTACTGCTACTTTTACTTTAAGTAAAAGATCTCAGTACTCATTTTACCAGTGGTTGTACACTACACATTGCCGGCCTACACACACACACACACACACACACACACACACACACACACACACACACACACACACACACACACACACACACACACACACACACTTTAGTTTTTTTCATCCTGCCATGATTTGTTCCTCTCATTACATCCACAGGTTTGCGTGCAATAATATCTTATATTATGAATACTATGAAATCTCATGTTTAACAATCTGTAACACACGGTCAATATAATGAAACATTACTTTGCCAATTCAAATGCCTGGTGAACAAGCAACTTGGCTTGCAAATTACTTAACGTTGGGCTAACACTATTAACGTTAAATATTTTCCCAAGGTTGGCAGGTCTGCATGGTGTTGTGTTGTAGATTTTCACTCTCTTGAAATGACATCACACTTGTCAATCATGATCATCCCTGCTTGATATTTGAGTGAAGGCAAAGGGAATTAATCTGGCGCTATAACTGGTGGAACTCTTCTTCTTCTTTTACTTCTCAGCAGGCTAATCTCTGGCGTCTCTTGCTGTTAGATTTTAGTACTGCACATGCACAACTGAACTCAACTGTACCTGCTACCCAAAATGCATAGATACCGGCAGGTCTGCAGAAACACTACGTACAGATATCGGAAGTGGTTCAGTACCTGCAGGTAGGTCTTGTACTCAATGAGCTTCTCTGTGCCACGGTGAAGCAGACCGATGTGAGGGTCACATTTCTTCACGGACTCTCCGCTGAGCTCCAGGACCAGACGCAGCACACCGTGAGCTGCAGGATGCTGGGGACCAAAGTTGATGGTCAGGTTGGAGACATCCTTCTCTGCAAGAGCATCTTTGTCTGCAGGAATACAATAAAACAATACAGGGCAGTGTCAGGCACTGGTTAATTCTTCAGGATCTGATTTTCTAATCAAAATAACAACAATAAATTAAAACCGTTTTATCACATATTAAGGCAGACAGGGCCTTACTCCATCATAATAAAGTTTGGTGGACTGGCAACACTAGGGTCAAGTCATATAATAAGTCAAGCACTTCATCGACCTCTCTCTCTCTCACAAAGTCGGATATGTTGGATTTCATAAATACAGCTGAATGTTGTAAGCTTTACACTGCCTTGGCAGCCCAACATTTTACATTTGCCTTTTGATTTTAATCAATAAAGGCTTAAAGAACAGTTAGTGGAAAACAGGAGTCATTTAACTAGGAGCCCTAAACATGCGTGTGTGTGTGTCTTCTACCATTCCATGGGGGTAGGGGCCATTTCTCATTCATGGCAGTGGGGTACATCACCACCCCGGAAAACTGCTCTGTCCACTCCACGTCTGGCTGCCATTGTTTCTGCCTGTGAAAAACATTGAAAGTCAGTGGGGGAAAGTACATTTATTCATGTACTGTACAAGTTTGAGCTACAAACACAATTTTGAGGGGAAATAAACTTTTTTCCGTCGCGAAGGCATTATCTCCGTGATCGCATAGTACTTGTATGGGAGTGTGCACATCCAGCTGAAGAACAACTAGCCACAACTGCAGTATCTCATGGTCAGGGAAAAGTAGACGATGAAAGTGTAGGCACTTGTACCTTCTCATTATGTTGCCACCATTTGGAAAGGCACAAACGCGAACCATTTCTTCTCCACAGTAGATCAACAACACACGTTATTCTTACTCCAAGCTTCTTCCCTTGTGAACACCTCCGATATCCACTCTCTTCTTCTTCTGCGTTTACCTGCAACAAGTGAAATCCCGCGCTGAAGTCCGGTGGGATTTCACTTGTTGCAGGGAAGTGTGCAAATCGGACAGTTGTGTGTGAAGACATGGACATTTGAGGGGGAAATAAACTTTTTTTCGTCGTGAAGGCATTATCTCCGTGATCGATTATTCTGGGCTTTCGGTGACGCGAGCGGTGGAAAAACAGGTAGGCGACAGTACTGTTTTGTACGGTTTCTGCACAACGTATGAGTTGAAAAGGCATGTTGTTGTCACGTAAGGACCCTGATCATGTTGCACAGACTTTTTAATTGCATTTTGTGTCTGTTAAGAGGAGCAAAAGGCACTCTTTAGGATATGCCCCCAAGAAGTGTATTATAACTAACTGGGAGCTCTGGCCATTAGCTGCAGGATCTCCAGTTTCCTAGAACCAATTCTGGTCATTGTTTTTCCTATCGACAGTACTCGGTGACCTCTAGTGATCAAGACTAGGGTAAAAATAAAAGTTCCCCTTTAATCTCATTTTGTTTAGGCTGTCATTTGCAGAGGGTGACAATCTGGGCCATATTGTGCCAAACTGACAACTGATAGTCAGATCTGGATGAAGAACACATACAGTATAGAAGTTCTACTAGGATACGTAAACATGTTTATATTTTTATTAATGCCAACTATTGCAACATTGCAGTACACAGCAGCATAAAACGGGTCAAGTCGTGTACAGCTCCTTTATATCAGCACACGTCAATGACAAACCTATAGGTTCATGTCTCCTTGACTTTGGAGCTGCATAATCAGCACAGGAAGGGGCGAAGACTATTTAAGAGACCTGTACGTGGATTTTAATGACTGCCAATAGTTTCTTACTTTAATTATGTTCCATTTTCTTTAATTTATCTAAAATAGTAGCAAAAATACAATGTTTACTCTTCCACAATGGTTAACTAAACTTTGGTTAGTTGTTGTTAAATCCTTTCGACCAGAAACTGATGAGTTTTGTTTACTATATACATTTATATACGGGAAATCCTTTGACTTTACACAGAGTCGAACATACTCACAGAAGCAGTGTGGTAAACACTGACACACGCTGGCTAATCACACCGCTAACAGTAACAGCTTAGGTGTTAGCTAACCTGCCCTGTCACGTAACATAAGGCAGCTTTAAGGATGACACTGCAATAGCGTTAACAGTTATATGCGTGCTTTGTAAAGGCGTTTCCCATTCAGAAAAAAAAGTCTAAATTGTAGCAGACGACTCGAATTGTTATTATTAAGGGACCAAGTCGGCTTATATAGCATTAGGCTAACATTAGCTCTGCAGTGTGTATATTTATGTAGAGCTCAAGCTAACACGGCTGGCAATACAATGGTCACACAAAGCGTCAGGTTCAGTATTTTTGTTAACTTACCGACTCTGCAGGACAGTACAGCCGGGGCTCAGCACATTAGTATTTAATATTAATTTTGTTGAAGGACGTCCTAGTTTTGTAAGCGACCTCAACATCATGGCAGCCATCTTGGCTGTCAGACTCTCTGGCCAATGACGTAGAGGAGGTTTTTCTTTTGTTGTTTTAGAGGCGCGTTACGTCAGTAACGCGCGTGTCCGCCACCTATCGGTATCATATATTATCTCCATATAAAGCAGCCTGCTTTTGTAGTGCAGTGGAGTGTTTTTTTCGTTCTTAAATAAGTTTTAAATATCTTATAAAGTATACATGTAACTATATATGATAAATATAGGAATAATTCATAATAAGGATCATGATAATCTTTATATCTGGAACCTATAACAGCAGGTTATCAACATGGCAAGGCAATAGGAAAGCTATTTCAAATCTGGAAATAGAAAAAAAAAAAAACATACATTATTTTGTGTGTATATATATTACATAAAATCATTAATCCCCACTTTTATCTTTGAAAGACTTGGTACTCAAATACCTGTCACCAGTTTTTATTGATAAGATACACTTTATTAATCCCACACTGGGGAAATTCGCTTTTTACAGCAGCTCCAAATACAACACAACACAACACAACACAAAAGAGTGATTGATAAAAAAAAATACACATAAAATAAGAAATAAATTTAAAAAAACAAAGTAATTGCTTACTATTTGGAGCAAATGCTGTGGATTTGTCATGAAGAAACATTGGTAAAATCAATTAATGTAAATATATATTAAAGGTATATTTAAAAATGATATAATTCTTTTAATAAATGCTATACTACTGTGTATAAACAGATGACACAGATGACAGATGAGTCTACATTTGTCAAAATAATGAACATATGCATTTGAACCCATCTGCCCAAAGACGACAAACTCTGCTTTTTATAAAAAACAGTGCTTTTATTTATGTAATACTGTGGAAAAATAATTACATACCATTTTTAAAAAATATTGAAGATAATGAAATTAAAAAATGAGAGTTTGATAATGTTCGTTGTACATCTTTTGAACAGTTTTCTCTGCTACGAAGAACAGTACAATAAGATAAACATTGGATTTTTCTAAATTCAAAGACACAATAATACAGGATACAGTCCTACCAGAGGTATAAAAGTACTGTAACAGGATTGTGAGAGAAATGATATGGACATATACTGAAACACACACTCAACACAGACATGCACACACATACTGTATACACACCGACATGCATACGATAGTCGCGCGCACACTCGAGTTGGGTGCTGCGTGTTTACAGTATGCTTCCCAGACACACACAGTCATTCACACATCTACACAAACACACTGTACAAATCGATGTGCGCGCTAAACGCCCACACACTCCCTCTTGAACTCTCTCTCTCTCTCACACACACACACTTGCACGCCCACACACTCACAGTCATACACTACTACATGTCAATATTGTGGACAAGCCTTCATTGAACCTCTCCATACACATTCTCCTCTGGCCGTTTTGGCAGACAGACGATGAGGAATGATTCAAAATGGAAATGTACGACATGTTCCCCTATAAGGCCACTCAGTTCTAAACCCAACATCTGTGTTTTTCTCTCCGTCTGCACCAGGCTTGTAGTTAAGAGCTCAGAGAAAAAGGCTCCAGCCTACGAAAATGTCTGGGAATGACTCAAGGCCCCGAGCCTGGTTTGTAAAGCAACAGTCACCAATAGAAGGAGCTTCTACTGCATATACATGGTCTAAGGTGAAGAACAACATGAACACTTGGCACTAGGTTTCTTTTATACACTGATATACCCTTCTGATGTGAAATACGTCCTGAATTCAGGCTCCGCTGTTGGCACAACTCTTTACTCACTGTCTCAGTGGAATCACCCAGGCGAACTCCCACGTTATGTGCGCTCACGTTCAAACTTTTGGTCCATACATACACATTACATGTTTTACATTGACAAAAATAATTCTGTAATGTTAAAAATAGAATACAAAGCTCTAGTCAGGTGTGCAAATAAAAAGAAGACATTACACAGATATAGATAAGGGACGTCTAAGCATGAATACTGTAGATGCAGTGCAAAATGATGACAACCCTCCCAACCCCACCCCAGCCCCAACACACTCCCCCCATGCCGCCTAACAGGCATGATGGCATGTACCACTGTACAGAAGGGCATTATGGGATACTATATATATGTGCTCTATGATCACTGAATATGACGGTTGTCTTATTCAATGATGAAGCAAAAAAACGTTAAAAAATGGCGGCCAGAAATGACTTCCACTGGTTGAGGTTTCTCCCGATCATCGTGTACCATATTTGACAGTCAGTCAGGTTTGCCTTAAGACGTTCTCTTTCATCATTTACAAAGTCAGTTATAGCCAAAGCTATAGGGCTCCAAAGATCTGTGATCTCTCGTCCTCTCTCTGGTTCTTGCTCTCTTTCCCAGTCTTGATTGTGACTTGCGCCGTCCGCTCTTTCAGAGCTCAGATATACACACACATTGGGAGTGAGGGAATTCAAAATTGTGTGGAATTTCCCTTCCCTGTCTCACTAAAACTCCTTTTCTTCCACTCGTCTCTCTGTGCCTCTGTGTTTCTCATACCCTCCCTGTCTCATGGGCATGGTCTTCTGACTCTGTGCATGGGTGTGTGTGTGTGTGTGTGTGTGTGTGATGTTTTTTTGTGTCTGTAGTCGTATTTGTGTTCAGTTGTGTTATAGTGTGTGAAAATGTGTGCGTGTAAATCTATGATTGTGTGTGTGTGTTTTTAGGTGTGACACTATTTATAAGATGCTTCCTCATGCTCTGCTAAGACTGTGAGGTGTTTATGCGTCTCTCTGTCTCACACGTGAGTCTGCATCCTCTGTGTGTGTCGGCTGTGGGAGTAGTCAGAGTGTTGCGAGGTGTAGGAGAAGCGAGTGGAGCTGCCGTACTTCCCTAGTCCAGTCTCTGATCCCGAGGGAGCAGGACCCCCGGGACCCACGCCGACCCCAGGGCTCCCCACCCCGGATCCCACCCCGGGTCCCACCCCAGGTCCCACCCCAGGTCCCACCCCGGGTCCCACCCCGGGTCCCACCCCAGATCCCACCCCATACATTTCATAGGACGGGCCGGCCTCCAGGGGGGCCAGGCTAGACGGGGCGAAACCCATGCGGTAGGTCTGGTAATGCGAGGGGTATCCGTAGTTGTCGTAGGCCAGCTGGGAAGTGGAGTCCAGGAGGCTGCAGTCCCCTGGGAAGTCGCTGGCCACGGGGGCGGGGTTCGCTGGGGGTTGCTGGCTCTGGCCCCCGCGGGTGAAAGTGTTGAACTGGGCGTAGCTGATGTGGGACAGTCTGGAGGGGGGCCGGGGGTCGTAGCAGGCCTGGGGGCGGCCAGGGGAGGTGAGGGGCCCGGGGGGACCTGGGGCTCCTCCGCTGGCCGTGGCCCCTGAGCCGCCGGCGCTGCTGCTAATGGACGCAGCTCCCCCTGGTGTTCCCGCAGGGGAGCGGTAGTCAGAGTAATGCATGGTGGAGCGGGAGGCAGGGCGGCCTTCATCGTGGGTGGAGGCTCTCACGTTATAGTAGCCGTTAGTGGGGTCCTGAAGAGGGAGGCAGAGACAAAAACTCAGAGTGAGCTATAAGAAAAGATATAATGAGGGTGATTGTGAAAATAATTTTCTATATACACAGATTCTTAAGGTCAAAGGGGCTCTTTAATATTAATGTTATGTTCCTTCCTGATCCCCAAAGAGAAATTCTATTTCTTGTAGAAGGTCAGAGGTCAGGGTGAACAGTGCAGCTCGAGCTGGTCTGCATCCAGGTCCAGAGTCATTAAGATTATGCTGTGAGAGCAGTTTGCTCTCTTTTTTGTGACTCAGCTGCTTGAGAGTCCCTTTTCAGAAATGTCTGCAGATCAAGTTACAGAGAAAACAAGTAATCCACCAAGACTGGCATCCTAGAGCACCTTCTGAAATACTGCCAACTTTCAAAAGATCTTCAATGCGCTGTATATCTACTGTATGAACTTTAAAAAGAAGGTGTTATGTTATGTGAAATGTTAACAGGGTGCAATCACAACCTCTAGTACCTCTCGTGACTTTTAAATAAATATTCTTGCACAATGACATTTGAGTATAAATTAAAGAAGATGATGTGAAAAAAGCTGCTGTGTCCTAATTTTATACTACACACTAATAATATATGCTTTGTACAAATTTTTAGTTTTTGGTGTTGGTATTGGTGTATGTATGTTATTTGATATAAAAACAGATTTTTTCCACTATATAGTGCAGAAAAAAAAGCTTGCTTGGTGTCAGTGCAAAGTTTATCCATCAGAGTGCGCTGTGATTTACAATCCTGTGGAAAGCAGATCAGAGTAAGAGAGAAGAAGCAGCCCTTTAAATAGTTTTAACAAAGTTATTTGTTAAAAAAAGCAGCCCTCTGAGAACCTTTACGTCATATTAGTGCAAAATTCATTTTCATTCCAGCTCAAAAATATACTATATCAGCTTTTTTTCTTTATCTAATAAGTATTATTATGTAGTATGGAATGGCACATCTTTAATTTTTTGACCAGGTTAACAAGAAAAAAAAATAATCTGATTTGGCCGTTTTTAGCTTGAAGCATTCATGTTTAAGCTCATAAGTTTACTCCAGCCGGGTGGTTCCCTGCCGACTAGCAGCGTTGATCCCAGACTGCCCTCCCTCCTCACTGCACCCCCCGCTGAACACTCTAATGCTGCTCTACTATTATTTCTGACATTATTCCTCCATCTCATTGTCTCTCACGCACCCGTACTCTTCTCCCCCATCCGACTCTGTTTCGCTTCTTCGGTGCTTCAGGCAGTGGGGAGTTAAAAAAAAAAAAAACAGTCTTGCTGAGGCTGTTGTCGGGCTGATCTAACCACCTCCTGGGGTGGATTCATGTCTGTGTTTCTTCAAAGTGATCCAAGGCAGCACTCCAGCTAGAGGGGTGGTGCGTTTGCCCTCACAAAATATTCATGGGGGGGAGTTTCAGCTGAACATTTTGGCAGCTTTGCGCGTGAAAATACATTCATCACCTAAGCCCAGCCCCGCAGTGTCAAAATGTATAAATGATTCATGCCAGCTGAATGGGCAGCGTGTGCCTAAACTTCCTTTATTTTTATCAAATGTCTTTCCAATTTGAGTTGTATTTTTTCCTGTTTTTCTTTAAATATCTTCAAGATGAGTGAGCGAACTTTTAGAGAAGCTAGTTGCCTCACAGTTGGACTGAAAGCGAGGGTCAAGGAAGACCAAAGGAGCTCCAGCAATTATAGAACGGCCAACTACACTGCTTTTGTCTTAAATCTCCTAATCTCATGCAAATCTCCTGCAAACCAGCGCATGAAGTAGACGGTTAACTGTTTTTGTTGATTGGTCCAAATGACAGACTGGCTTGAAATCCTAAAAATGAGTTTGTGTGTTGTTGTTTTTTTTTAACTTACAGCCAACAACATGTTGACCAGAAGAAAAAAAGCAGCTTATACCAAAAAAAGGAACCAACACAAACATAAAATACTGTAGAATGAAGAAAACTAGAGGACAGGAAGAGGTCTGAATGTTCTTGAAGCTTGAGACAGCTGCACTAAGAGGGGATTTTGTACCGATGCGTAGGTGGAATTGTTTTAACTGGACTGGAGTTATATTTGCAAGTTAGAAGTAATAAGTCATATTTGCTGGCTAACAACAGTCAGATAAACAGCAGCCCCTTTGGTTATGCTCTTATACACTGTAAGAAGATAATAGTTGCATTAAAGACCTGGCAGTCAAATGAAGAGGCAACAACTAGTGAAGTCATTTAATGCTACTTTCATCGCCAGTAGGATATTAACAATTCAGCTTTAATACATGAACTGTGGATGTTTAATTAGGTATTTAATGTGTTTATTAAGCTACAGGCACAAAACAAAATGACATTTGAAGAGAACACGTGAGTTAAAGAAGCAAGCTGTTTATAAAGACAACTCTACTGGATACATTTAATATTTAAATCCAAGGAGCTAATAGTTAGAACCTTCTCCAAGCATCCAGTTTGGTATCCGTTTTAGATGGACAGGGGCTTACACCCCATTTGCACCTGGTATTGAAATGTGTATATATATATATATATATATATATATATACATAAAATGAATCAAGTTGTACTGAACTTTCACTTAAGAATCAATTTCTATCAATGCCCCTTGATTACTATAACATTAGTAAAAACACTTTAGATCAATCAATGGTCAGGTGGGATTATGTATTAAAGAATGAGGCTTAATCTATAGTATAAAACCCTCAAAAGATTATATTTATGTAGTTCATCTGATTCTTATTTCTGCCTGGCAGAGGATACTCTCAGTGTCATACTGGGTGACATCACTTCCATCAGAGAAGAAAAGCTGTACATCATTGGATGAAAGTCATCACTCAGAGTCACCATGTCAGTAACGATTAGGATATTTGCAGCCCTTTGAGGTATAATTAGAACGAAACCTTGCTCTGAAACTCCAGAAGACCTCACTCTGACTTTGGTATCATTTTATTATCAATGTTTTGTTGATTTTAACTTCATATTGACTAGATCTGTGTTTGTCTACCTATTTCTGTACCTGTGATTGTAACTTCTCTCAGCACTTTGTAATTTTTGAGTCTTTCAGTAGCAAAAAGGTGAGTTTCTTTAGATTTTAAAGACAATTTGCTGCCTGGTTTGATACGAACAAGGGTTTCTGTGTGAGCTCACCTTTAGGTCATACTCCTGGCGGGTGTCCAGGGTGTCGCTGCGGAGGTCAGACTTGAGCTCTATGTCATCTTTAAAAGGCTGATTGGAGGGAGAGAAGGACACAGAGGGGAGAAACTAAACCGTCAAACAACAAAACAAAACAAAAACAAAAAGGAGGAGAGAAGGTGCCATAACAAAACAGAAGAGGGAAGGAGGCAACAGAGTATGACAGGAGAAGAGAAAACGGAATTCAAAGTGTTAAAAGGAGCAATTACAGGGGAAAAGCACAGAGTTTGTTCTTAGTCAAAAGGTACATTGTGGCGTAGGGAGAGGTTGCTGAGTTAATCTGAGGTTTTTTCTACAACTACAGGCTGTGTAAACAGTGTCCGGCCCAAGCACACATATCCCGCTGCTGCTCACCGAGTACATGGCCTTGACCATGCGCGAAGCCGTGGACACGCTGCCGGAGTCCTCCTCCAAGCTGTGGGTCTCCTTGTTTATCGTCTCCACCTTGATGTCGGGCTTACCCAGAGTGACCCCGCGCCGACCTGGAAGCAAAACACGGCAAGGTTGAATACAGCTGGACACGCGCATCTTGGCCGGCGTGTTTTCATGAGCTGGAGGAGCAAATTCAGGGGAGGGGGGCTACATCCATATGGTGGAGAGAGAAAGCTGTAGGTGTATTTGCTGAAAGTCTGTTTGGTCTAGCGATGAACTTCTACTACGCTAAATGCACATTGGGACTGTATGTGTTGAGCACATGGAGAGTATGACTCACTGCCTTTGCGCTGCCGGTAGAAGATGAGAACGAGGACCAGCAGGAAGATGAACAAGAGGATGGTAGAGCCCACTGTCCCACCAGCTATTATCCCCACTGGGACCTCCTCTGAAATGAGGGGGTGAGGGAGAAAAAGAGAGAGACAGAGAGGGGGTTGGGGGGGATGGATTGAGTTAGGGATGCAAATGTCTGTCTACAGCGACACAATCATGATTTCAATGTTACAAATACACCTTATAAAGCTAAATTATAGAAGCGCTGCCCTATCCAGTTACTGAGAAGCAATCTGAGATGTCTATTTGTCCAAATGAGATTCTGTTGTTGGCTATATATGGATTTGCAGGTCCATTTGAGGTGTAAAATTTAGACTACATTAGATAAATTGTTTCTTTTCTGTGTCCCAAAGTACAAAGCACTGTGTAATGTACTGATAAATGAATATGAATAATGCATTGGATGTCACCTGTTACCTTATAAAGTTAAAATCAACACTGAGAAGAAGGATTCTCAGGTTTGAGAATCTCTCTCCTTTATTTAAATTAATTTAAATGATTGTTTTAAATTTATATTAATTTTCTTGACCTTTTATATTACAGAGTATTTAACGTCAATATCATCATATATCAATACAGAGTTTTTGCACTCCAAAAAAGCCTTCTGACTGTGAAAGAACTGCGGATTTATGATATGTACTGGGGCTGATAAATGATCGGTTAAATTAATATTCTCCTCAAAAGACACTAGAATTACAGATCATTCTTTGAATTTATGAAACACACCAGTCTCCTCTAGTGTGATGATCATGGTGCCCGGGCCAAACGAGTTCCAGGCAGTGCAGTTGTAGGTGGACAGGAAGTCGGACTCCATCACGTTGTTGATGGTGAGGGTGGAGAGGACGCCGCCGCCCTCGGCCGATGGTTTGCTCTGCTCCACCGTATACCTCTCCAGCAGCGTCCCCTTCTCCTTCTCCCATACGTTCTCTTTCCACGCCCACACCTACAGCGAGCACACACACACAAGGGAGGCAATATTAGATTTTTATCATAATTATTGTGTATACATATATAGTTACTAACTGAATACTATGTAACTCCCCATAAAATGACAACACGTATTTACATATTTTACAGTTCAGTTCATGTTTGGATTAAACAAATAATATATATCTAACCTCTAAAGAAGCAGGCTAGCTGTTTCCTGACCTTTCTGGTCTTTGTGCTAAACTAACTAACTGGCCATTGACATAGTTACCGTATTGACATGAGAGCAGTATCAACCTTTTCATTAAAATCTTGGCAAGAAAGAAAATGAATATGCTGAACTCTTGCTTCAAGGACAGCAATAATATCAGTGTATTGCACTGTGTTTTGTGTCCTAAATATAAAAAAAATTATAATTTAAAGAAAACTATGAATTAATTCTATAAAGTTTGGGGTTCCCTATTGGATTTCATGGAAAACCCTTATCCAGTTGCACAAATAGTGTGTAAAAATGTGTATTACTACCATATGTCCACTAGTATTCATGTATTCATTAGTTGATATGTATTTGTGATTCTGAAACATGATACAAATATCAATCAATAAAGGAGAGTGATGTTACTTTCGCTTAAAATGTTCAAATAAAGGTTAAAAAAAATTTATGTGATATTTAGTAGAAAGCTACTCTTGGCCATATACATCTAACTTGATATATATCTATAACTCAAACACATACTGTAGAAAGGCATGACAGAAATAGACTACATAAATTTACACACTCACATGTAAAGGCACACACTGCATGACTAGCAACAGTTTGTATGTTTCTGCAGACTAAAGTGGAGGTAGGTGACTGAGCTGGCGAGAATCTTGCACATTCTCTAACTTTAAAGCCACTAAAAGCAACTGTATTATTCAGCATTGAAGTACTGTACTAAGGGGAGTTAATTATGCATAAGCCCACATGTTCCCATAATCTGCCCACTTATTCCAGAGGAGGATAATCTCCTGGCTGTGTCGTTTACTGGGACAACTGTTCCTCTCCAGTCCTTTATATTTTATAAATCTTTTTCTGTCCCAACCTCCGCCACTTGCATTAGGAGCGCGCACTGCGAGTCAGGATGGATCAGTCGCCGAGGAACTGCTACTACTGCGTCTCCGTGATACAGTCGAGTGGAGAAAGCATGCAGGCTGATTTCTGACGCAGGAGCTAAAAGCGGACCGGCTTAGTGTTAGTGTTGGTTTGTTTATGTGATGGGATGGAGGAAAATTCTGGGAGAGTTTAAGGGTGAGTCACCACTCAAAAAGAAAAGGGGACACTGCCTAAAAGCATTTACCGTGCAGGAGAGGAGCTTTTAGGCACAGGAAGGTACAGTAACAGTAAAATCTCTGTCAGACAAAAAAGTACAACCATGTGCTCTTTGTGACCAAAGCTTTTCCTTGTTTGGCTTTTCTATATCTTAATAATAGATCTGGGCTAACATTTTAACATGTCATTGAGTGTGTCATTCCCTTTTTCTTTTCTTTTGACTTACAATCTTATCTGGAGGAGGTGTACTGGCTATGTAGCATTTCACCTCTCCTCTCTCCCCTCTCACTGCATACTGGACTGGGTCACTGGAGATTATGGGAGGACCTGCATTGGCCAAAAATGAGAGGATATGTGAGTGTGTGTGAAAGAGAGAAATGAAAGAAATGACACTTAAAATACCACAAACATCATATTCAACCCTGGTGTTGACATTGACCTTACTAGGCCTGTTCAAGAGGAATTGTAACACTTTGGACGTACAACATTTTTTCCAATTACTGACAAGCTGACCTTTTAGAAAGTACAAGTTATTCAACTACAAGCAGTGATACATTAAATTGTGTGGATGTTTTCTGACCGTTGACGGTGAGTGTGACCTCAGTCTCTCCTACTCCAATCCGTGGGACGATGGCCTTACATACATACTGGCCAGCATCCGCTTGGCTCACTGACTTCAGATACAGCTGGTTGCTGTTACTCAGAACCTGTGGGGGAGTGAAAAAAAAGGACACAAATATAAACAAGGCAAATCTGCTAAACAGCAGGAGGGGATAAACAAAATAAAAGCCCACATGTGCATAAGTAGAGGAGAGGCTAATGTACTCTTGTACCTCCACCTGTATACATTATTATTTTAATAGATCATGTTGTGTATTTGCATGTCTGGCCTTATTTGAGTATATGTGTTCTACTCCTCTGACCTTAACTGGCTAACAATGCAAACTTGCACATCTGTTTTTAACCCATCACAAAGGTTTTGCAGTTGCCTAGCAACCACATCCATTGGAAAATTAGCTGTGTGCAAATTATGACTAAATATGTAACCACCTAGAGAGAGAGAAATACCTGAGCAAGACTAATTATATGGTCTTGAATAGTTTGCTGTGGCAGATTTCATGAACGTGAACATGCTGTTTGCTCGCCAAACAGTTAGAGGTCAAAGCAAAGTTTACTTGCACCTATTCGCCACATCTTTAGCTACACAGTGGATCTTAAAAAACAAAACAGGTTAACTTAAGCAGGCTTGTGTCTCAATTTTTTTTTCTACAAAGCTCAAATTAAATTGAACTAAAAGATATTAATAGGGCATCCTTTGACATTTGGCAATTTGACATTGTAGGAAATACGCTTATTTTGAGAATATTGATACCACTCTCATTCTCATATACAGTAAATATAAAAATTGAGCTAGCAGACAATTAGCATGGCCTAGCATAAAGACTGGAAACAGCTCTGAACAATGGTAACAAAATCTACCTACCAACTACATATACAGACAATATACAATATAATTGCCTATAGCGATAAAAACATTGTGGTGTATTTCAATCATTGTGATAATTGTGAATCAGGACAATCATAAATATCCTCAGATAGCTCGACTTGAAACACCTGTTTAGCTCATCATCATACAGTCCTATATTAAGATGCATTTTGAACAAGGCGACCGAGGGGAGCCCACATCTTGCCAATAATTCCAAAATCCTAAGCATGTAACCGTGGCTGAAGGCTCGGCTTCGTTGTACAAAACAGTTAAACCAGATGTGTAGAAATAGTATAGAATTCCAAAATGAAGAACAGGGAGCGGAGGTGCCTATCTGTGATGCAATTAATATATGTTTCTTAACAATATCTAAGGTAAAGTATATTTTCACGAATACTGTGATAATACTGTGTATCGCAATTATTGTGTGAAGCCACAACGTGTCATTTCTATACTTCAAGTGAGATATAACATGTTCATTTTAGTGAACTTTAAAGTTGCCAGTAGGCAGATTTTATTACCTCTGAACAGAGCCAGGCTAGCGCTTCCCTTGTTTTTAGTCTTTGTGCTAAGTTAGATAGTGAGAGTGGTATCAATCTTCTCATCTCATATGAATTTTATTTTTATTATAAATACCAAATGCAATTGGCTTTTCAAAGCCACAGTTGTTCAAGATCTGAAATATGGCTGCTGGACATTGTATTGTCCTCTGTTTCTATTTAGGAGGACTATATGTCTACAGCACAGTCATTGATTTTATTGAATGCAATCCAACCTTAAGAATATCAGGGAAAAGAAAAATACATCCAGGTGTACAGACAGGATAATGCCCTTGAATGAAGGCTGCTTTTGTAAACACTGGAGGAGAAAGCGTGAACTATAAAAGTAGTGTGAACACAAGAACAGAGAAGTAAGGAGCGAGTGTGGGCTCTCAGTTTCTTACCATGTTCGAACCCTTTTTGAACCAGGTGAGTGTGAGCGGAGGGTTTCCAGCCCATTTGCAGTTGAGGGTGACATCAGAGTCAACATCTACTGTTTTTGGCTGCGGCTCCACCAACAGAATTGGACCAACTGGAGACACAGAAACAGAGAGAGAGACATTCTTTGTTGTGCTTGAGTAATAATACAGTAGGACTAAAGGCGAGAAGCTGCTCAGAGGAAAAACACAACAATGGTGTGTTTTATCCCTCTGACTCGAGGCTGTAGTGAGTGAAGTGGGCCGCAAGCAATTGAACAAGGTGAGATGAGTGTTGTGTGACTCACAGTGAACGTCCACCAAGATGCTGACGTTGGTCTTTCCCACAGCGTTGAAAACCAGACAGGAGACAGGCTCGGTGAAGAAGGAGTGGTCGGCCTTGGTGGTGAACACACTCTCCCTGGCTCCCTGCAGCACCACGCCCCCCTTAGCCCACCTGGGGTTAAAACGCAGTGTCATATACGGTGAAAGAATACATGCACACACCCTGGAACTATGTAACACGAATGGGAACCATAAATATGAAACTGATTGTTTTTCTGATCTGCTCTAAATAGATTTACATGTATTACATTTTTTTTATGTCAACTTTGGAATTTTCAACAAAAATCATACAAGACAAAAAGAAGTACTACATTTCTGTCATACAATCTAACTGCTACTTTAGCAGGCCCAGTGAAAGTGAGAATGTATATGCATTCAGACCTGTAGCCCATAATAGGAGGGTTGGCGTGAGCCTGGCAGGTGAAGGTGACTCTGTCCCCCTCCAGGACAGAGCGAGGCTCAATGGACAAGGTCACTGTCGGTGTGTCTGGAGAGAGAGAGAGAGGCAGAGAGACTCATGTAACAACACCCTTACTACATCTAATATATGCAGCAATCTGGAGGTTGGATGCAAAATGGCTTCCATGCATGACTTAATGATATATAAAACATTTAGCTGCTGGCGGGTGTTTAATGTTTCAAAATATGACACCATGTTGCTTTTTATATATTGTATAAAAAGTCTAATTATAGATTGTGATAAAAATGACTAATGTAATGGTAATGTAATATATCACATGACGAAACAATGGTACTTCTTGAGTTAAAATCAGCTTCTGTCTCAACATTAGTGAATTGCTTACGGTGTACGTTGAGGGTGACAGTTGTGCTTTTGCCGGTGGGAACAGCCAGGTTGGTGGCCACACAGCTGTAGTTCCTCCCAGTGTCGCTGTCGACAGGCTGGACTGGCAGGTAGCTACGTGTGGTCACCCTCTTCCTGTCTGGAAGCACCTCCTGATGATGGACAGCAGAGGGACGTTGATGAAACAACACAGATAAAAAAAACAACAACTGTAAAAAGACTTCATGGATGTGTGTGTTTTAGTGAATGCGGTCTCTTAGACTCACAGTGGTACTGGCAGCACCCTCCACAGGCAGACCATCTTTAAGCCACTCGATCATAGAAGGCGGCTTAGCCCCTCGAGACACGCAGCTCAGGTTGTAGGACTCCCCCGCATTCAGCAACACCTCCGGACCCCCATCAATCACCGGGTCATCTGGGGGGACTGGAGCGGGAGAGGAAAGTGTTAGAAACACACAACATCTCACATACATTCTAAGAAATATGCACTGGCAAACTAACGTACTGAGGACGGTGAGTTTGGCCCTCCTGGACCTCAGGGCGGCATCAGGGGCCTGGCACTCGTACAGGGAGTCGTCAGATAGATCCGCTGACTGGATCTCAAGGTTGTACTGACCCAACTCCTGCACACGCAGCACGCGGTACCTGGGCCAGGCTGGGACACACAGACATACATAGTAAAGTAGGAGTCAAAGATGGACTGGAGGGGTCCAGTCATATTAAACCATATCTACAAATACTCTTCTCGGAACAATTATATGTGTCTGATATGTCTTTTCTGTAAACAAAAGTATAATTTACACATCAAAATCCTTTGATTCTCAGTGTATGTGCACTGGCGACCTCAGTTTAAACATCACAAACTAATTACCAAACTATCACAAATCATGCTTGTAGGCCACGTCCCTTAAAATCTGACTTTGAATGAACACTTTCCACTTTCAGCAGATGAATGTGAGAACATACTTCTAGTGTCAACCTCTGCTCATACATCATTCTGCACAGTGAAGCTCAAACATCCAACTGTAGGTACAAAAGGAAAAATATATTTTTGAGCGGAGGGAGACTTTAAATAATCATGATAACTTTTCAGGGACAAACATAAGCTAGACTTCTACCTTCATGATGAATTTTATATCTGATTTGGGTGGCTTTTTATATCTGTTTAAAGTTTAAAGACATACACTATCTGAAAGCAATATAAGCTGGCACGAACGTCAAAAAGAGGAACAAAAATGAGATACATTCCACTTTTTGAACCTTTTTCTTCTGTTCACGTTGAACACATATTGCTTCTAGCTTCACATTTCTTCACATTTTAGCTAAATTAAAACATCTAAAATGTTGATCTGGATATTTTCCTTTTTCCTTTTGTTCTTGTTGTCCTCTGTGCTAAATCTGGCTGAATGTCACTATATCTTTAATATTTGACTATTCAAATACAAACTGCTAATTCGTCACGTCTCAGGATCCCCACATACCCATGTGGTCTGTATCAGAATTTGGAAAAATGCAACACTACACAGCTTGTTCCAGTTCATTCATGCTGATAAGAAAACATCAGATCCAGGCCATACTGTACATAAATAAAAAAACAGACTTTTTCTTCATCAAGCTTAATGACACCAGAGAGATGCAAGGCCACATGATGCGATAGATGTGCACAAACACCAACGCATGACCAAACATACACATTCACACACTTTTGCCTGATGCGCTCACAATTACTCACACGCAACACAGCCTCTTCCCCTTCCCCCATCCGCCACACAGCCCAGCTGTGTCACTGCTGTACATTCTCACCATTAGGTGGCACCCATGCTCTCTCTCACCGGCAGGGGGGAAAAGATGAATGCATTATGACAGCAACGTTTTAGAGGACTCAAATCGACTCCAGTCCATGGTGCAGAATTCATGTTTGCTGCCCAGACGTAGATTGCATGTGAAATTCTCTGTGCCCTTTCCATGCGCAGGCACCCAACTCAGCTTTGCTGCTCGCCTAACCTTGTGTGTCCTTGTTTCTGCATGCACGTGCGTGAGTGTGCCTTGTATATACGTGCATTTGCATGTGAAATGTCGAGAGCGAGAAAGCGTATGAAAAGCCCAGAGAACGAGGCAGGGGGAGAAGAGGGACAGAGCCTCATACACAAATGCACACACACACACACACACACCCACTGAGTGTATGTGTGCATGAAGCGGCCAGTGTTCATTCATATGTTTTTATTTAAAAGCTTTGGCTTGAAGCACTGGACCATTACAGTAACAATATGATTAAAATAAAGCGAGGGAGAAAGGGGAGGGGGAGACAGAAAGAATGGAGAAGGGACAGACGAGGACGGAGAGGAGCAGAGAAAGAAAGGGTTGAAAGAAAAGAGGATGAACTGAGTGTGTCGAAGCAAGGTGAAGGTAAGGAGAGAGAAAGAGCGACAAGGTAGATGAGTTAAAGGAAGAATAGGAGAGAGGGCTCAGCACAGCAGGCAGAGGCAGCTGAAAGAAGGAGAACAAGAGGGAGAGAAAGGAACAAGGGAGCTTAGATGAGGAGGTCGCGAAGGAATAGCATAACAGACAGATGACAGGAGAAGAGAGGAGAGGTGAGGAGAGGTAAGGAGAGGGGAGGAGATGAGAGGAGAGGTGAGGAGAGGAGAGGAAAGGAAAGGAGAAGGGAGGAGAAGAGAGGGGAGGAGAGGAAAGGAGAGGGGAGGTCAATTACAAAGGCCAAATAACAAAAAAATGAATCCAAAATCATAGCATACAGAACATGTGAAGGGAAAACAGAAGAAAAAGAAAGGTAACCAAATCAATTTTTTTTAAACAGAATAGTAAAGCACAAAGTCTGGGGGAAACAACAGCAACATCAACAAAAACAAGGCAACAACATGTCACAAATGATGCAGTCTCCCTCTGGACCAATCAGTTAAAAATATTCCCCACTTGTTTTGACCAGTAATTGCACAGCCCCCTTTGGGCTAATCAGTGCAATTCTGAAAATGCTGCAACACAGCAACGACATGCATCATTCCCCCACGTTTTGTCAAAGTTGAACAAGCTGAGTCTTAAACTGTTGTTGTTGACAGGCGGACAAGCAGGAGACTTAATAAATCAAACTGGAAATCAAAAAAAGTTCTAGGAGAAAGACTGGAGCGAACAGTAAGGGCAAAGAGCTGCACAGTAGAATGAGGGCTATATATTTGTTGATGAATAGGCCTGAATCAATGAAAATCAGATATTAGCCAGTCAGTGTCACCCACTGCTCATGTGACAGAGGTGATGATGTGATGCTCCTCAACCAAGTTGAAGGGTGGGAGTAAAATGTGCCCGAGGGAGCTTAGAATTTCCCATCAAACAGTGGATGATATGTAAAGAAGGTGGCCAAAGTCAGCCTACGTAAGTGCACAGTTTGTCACAACGTGGTGTGACGGGGATAGCTGCTGTGGTAGTCTGGCTGTGTTTAGCATAACAGTAGCCTCCTAACATCTCCTGTCCAAAACTGCTCTGCTGGCTCAGTCCAACTGTAAGTCAAACATTCAGCAGCAAAAACATTTCGTCAGCATACATTAGCCAACACAGCTACACACACGCAATGTCATACAGCGTGTATCATTCAAAGTGCTGGGAAAGAGCTGTGCTTTGTTAGCATTTGGGAAAAATTCCACATCAGTAATACATGAAACAGCACAGCTAGTCCGGTCTAAATATATTTTGCGAAAGATATTTTTGTCACAGGTCAAATATTGGCAAGTGTAACTGTAAAACCTAGCATGACCACAATGCTGAGGCAAGAGGGAACTGGTCATTGAAAATGTAACTGATTGCCTTATATAGATGGATTGGTTCCAGTTCCAGCTTCCATTTTGACAATTTCACCTCCCTGTCTGTACTCAGTTATACTTTTATAGCCTAAACCAGTGGTTCCCCCAACACAACCTTCTCAGATGAGCTTGTGTGCCCCACCATCGTCACCACCAAATGGGTTTGAATAGATTTTAAACTGGGTGTTATTTATTTAACACTATTTTTCAGTAGGTTTGTGCTCATTTATCCATTCACCATTTGGCTAATTCAAATTCTTCGCTCTCTTGCTAACTAACTTTCACGTACTCTACAGCACATAGGCTAGTGTCAGGGTTTTCTAAGCCGTCAGTTTATCACAGCTGGAAGTTTAACAGTTATTGTGACATTAATTATACAGCTGCTGTTTAGCTCAAAGCACTGCTGTGCCCAAGTACAGCAAAGCCTCTTATGCTTTCATATTATGTGAGCTAGTCCATAATATATACTCATACACCCTGGTAACACAATGCAACGATTAGTTGACAAGTCAAATTACAGAAAAACAATCTGCAACTATTTTGATAATTGATAAATCGTTTTCATGTAAAAATGGCAGAAAATGCCATTTACAGCCTCAAAAATATGGAGATTTTCTGCTATTCTCTTTTTTATATATTATGAAACCGAATAACTGACAAAACAAGACATTTATAGACATCACCTTGGACTAAGAAACTGGGATTTTCTTGGAATTTATAGACCAAATACTGGGCAGATTAATCGATAAAGAAAATAATTGTTAGTTGCATCCCTACTGGTATCTGCAGATAGATGGGATACAAGTACCCCTGGTTGGAATTCACTGCAGTATTGTTGGCATACATGCTACAACTTGCATGCTTGTGCATTTTTAGATTTTTGTCGGAGGTTAGAGTAAACTTCACGTCATTTCCAAGATCTCCTTCAAAGTCAAAATATCAAATTTCATGCAAAGTTGGTAAATGTTATGTGTGGCACCTTGGTGGCCTCCACAGAGTTTCAGTTTGAGCTACAGAGCAAAGCACAGCTTTGACCCTCTGCACTGCAAATGTTGCAGATGCCACTGTAAGCATAAAATAGGCTTTAAACATTAAACACGTCTCCCCTCTGCACTCTGAGAAGCGGTACAAGAAGTAAAACGAGTAAATGGTAAGCCATCTTTGCAATTGTGGTGTTAAGAGTAACAGAAAGAACTCAAGACATTCACAAAATCCTCTGTCTCTATAGCGTTAAACATGCAGCATAGCATTTTGCCTATCAGCAGCTCCAATCCAAAAGTATCAGAATCAGCTTTGAGAAACCGATCTTAGTCACATGCTGAACAGAGTGAAGGAGGCCTGAAGAGGCTGTATGATGTCTCACCCCGGAGGTCCTCTCCGATGCCCAGAGCCAGGCCATCTTTGGTCCACTGAACAATGCCTGAGTAGTTGAAGACAACGCAGGACAGGATCACCCTCTGGCCCCGCACCACCGACTGGTCTGCCGGCTCCTGAGAGAACCTCGCTGTCCACGCTGGAGAGACAGATAGAGAATGGGAATTGGGAGAAAAAGAGGGATAAGTTAGGGACTTTCTCACTGTGTACATACTACAGGCAAGCTACTGTAAATTCACCCCGACCACAGATATAACATATTATTGTTTCCGTGGTTTTATGGTTAATTGATTGAAAACTGCATTCCCCCAGCAGAAATGGAATGCCACGATTGCCATCTTTGATCACTCACTGGCTTGCGGCCATTGAGCGAGCGCCGGCACGGAGTAAAGAGCGGCATGGAAAGACCGAGGTGTCAAAGAAGCGGGAAATCAGAACAGATTTAAAGAAGAAGAAAGAGAGAGAAAGAATACAAAGAGGTGGTTAACGCTGACTCAGGAGAGAAGAACTGTGAGATCAAACAGGCAACTTCAGCCATAGGGTCTCTCACACGGCGTTTCTTCTCGCTCCTGACTTTTATTTCTCCACAACTCTCCGTCCCTCCCTCTCGTCTCACTCTCTGTTTCCCCTTTCTTCATTCCTCCCTATGAGTCATCTCCCAGGCTTCCACTCCCCAACCAAAACTACAGTGGCTGTCATTGTCTTCCAGACTCTCTCTCTCTCCAGTCTGTAGTCCACTACCACAGCAGATAGACCAGCGCCGCGCTGGCCCACCGACCAACTGTCTAATATGAGGGGAAAACAAGAAAAAAGCCTCTGCTATTGTTCCACGCTGTATGATGACAAGTTGTAATTAGCTGTCCCTTGAAGACATGACACCCGCACAATAGAGGAGAGGCAATCACCGTGGAGGATTTGCATCACGCTTGAAATTTTTATTCCTCCCGTTCTATCTCTCGCTTTCATTTTTCTCCCCACTCCCACTTATTTCGAAGAATCTCGTACAGTAGATCATTAACCCAATGCTGCATTGTACACCCCCTCAACCCTCCTCCCCTCCACCTCTGCCATTACCTCTCTCCTTCTATTCTCTCTCTATAATGTTGTATGTCCTTTACCCAAATTGCTTTGCTTCACTCTCTGCTTTTCCCTCTATATGTATGCATCCCCACTCGCCTCCTTTACTCTGTACATCTATAATGCTGTATATGAATGTCCTTTTGCTTGCACTGATTTTCCTCTACCTCTCCTCCTCTACAGTATGTATGCGAATCCTTCTTTCTATATACATATATAATGCTGTATATGTCCTTTTACCCATAATGCTTTCTATTTTTGTGTTCCTCCTCCTCGCTGGTTGGAAGGGGGTTAGAGGCGGACTGTCACAACTCATTTATCACATTAAATATCAGCCCTCCAGCACTTTCTCCCTCTCTTTCTCATTCCCCCGTTCACCCATCTCTCTCTTCTCTCACTTTTTTCCCTCACTCCCTTTTCTTCACCTCCTACCATTTACATCTCTCCTTCTCACTTGTCCTCTCCACTTTTTTATCACTTCCCCCCCTTCTCTCATTCCCTCACACTTCTCCCTCTGAGCCCTCCAGCACTTTTCTGAAGGTTCCCATCTCTCACTTTTTTAACAACTGCCATATGCCTCTGCACCCCACCTCCCGCCTCCCTATCATGACCCTCAGTCCCTATCTCTCACGTTTCCCCTCCCTTTCATACACAGACATGCACTCTCCCCCGATCATGTCAGATTTGGTGTGATTTGCAGAGGTACAATATGCCCGATATTACAAAAGAACCCAGTCATGCAAAAAGATTTCCTTACCAATCACAACAATGGCTTCTGACAGTGTAGCACATTAATATTCTGAAGATAAAGGAGATATGCAAGGATACACGATACACAGGAATCAGATGAAGATGGAGCTTTGCAGAATGCATACCTAGAATAATTTAGCACTGAACTGAAAAAATAATAGCGGTCCCTAATTTGCTCCCTGAGGAACACTCAAATTAACTGGATTAATGAATTAAGATAAACAAAGAAAACAACGTAGCAACAATGACTGGCTATGAGAAGTTGGAAAGTAAAATCATGTCATATATGTCACAAAGCTTTTAACATTATGAAAAGGCACCACCAGAAGGCATGTTTTCACCAGCCAGCAACCACTGTAGGGCAACGTTAAAGTCAGTGCAGAAGTACCATAGTTACTTTCTTTGAATGGCTACTACATGCTGGCTTTAAGAACACTATGACTGTGAGTATATTTCTTACATAAGGAAGACATTAAGGCTTAAAGGACCTGAAAACGTATTCTTTCAATCATCCTCTTACTTTGAGTGATGGGGTCCTACATGAACACACAATGCGCTGCCAAAGTTAGAACAATTTTTGGTTATTTTTTCTCTGTGCTCTTCTAAGTGGGCCATGTTCAGTTGGGAAAAGCTGATGTCACATACTTCAGCGTGCCAATCAGGATTTGGCAATATCAGATGAACCAGATTAAGTTTTGTTGTTCACTTCTTGATAAATAATACTTAGAATATAATATAATAATATATTAGTGTTATAACTAATACTAATATATTATATAATAATATAATTTATATAATACAGTCAAAATATGTTGTCTTCTTGTTCCTACAGTGTGATGTTTGAATGATGTACAGAGTTTGACACAACAAGGAAGTTTTCACATTCATCTGCTGTGGAAAGTTTCTCTGTGCTCATTGAAAATCTGATTTTAAGGAGCGGGGCATATGAGCATGGAAGTCAACTTCTACAATTGAGATATAGAAACTTTGAAGCCACCAGTACCCATACACTGAGAATGGACTTTACAGTGAAGTAGGAGGCATCTTGTGTCCAGCTTTAGAAATAAACAAAATTTGCATATTCATAGGTTCTGGAAGTTTTAATGAGGTAGAAGGAGTAGATGCATTTTTAAGGATTTTAATGTGGAAATTACACTGTTGTTGTGGAAAAAACATATCAGACACATATTATTTTTCCAAGCAGACCATTTGTATTATATCTTAATAGATGACTGGAGGGGATCTTTCAGGAAGATTTTTTCTGAACTTGAAATTTCATTGTTGCTCATTTAGTAATGAATATCTAACGTTATTGAGAAACACTTTTCAAACCAAGCGTTCAGGGGCTCTCCGGAGGGCTGTGTTTGAATTCGGTCAGGGCTCAGCTATTCTTGATGCCTCTCGCTTGCCCCTGTTCAGTGGGTCCAAACTTATATTTTCTGGGTTCAGGCAAAGTCAGCAGACGGAGCCCAAGGTGATGTCTTAAATTGTCTTATTTTTTTTATAACCAACAATCCAAAACCCCAATATATTTAATTTAACTTAATCTAATTTAAGTTTTGCTAGGAAAATTACAAAAACAATTAATGGATTTATGGATTATCAAAATAGTTGGCAATTACTATTACATATTATGTCAACAAAACAATCTGAACAACTAATCATTTCATAATTTGTATTCTTTTAAGACTTAAGCCTTTTTTGGCCACTTGAAATGGGGAACCCATCAACAAACAGCTGCATATATACACATTCAGCAAATACGGACTGACATTACCATTAATTTGAAGTTGTTTTTCCAGCCACCCACCCTGTAACTAATACTTACTCTCCTTTTACCGTATCTCTGTTTTTGGTCTCTAACTCCTGAGATAAGTATCTGCCTATTTAGCTGTAAAATGATTTACTAGGCTCACCAGCTAGTTGCCTTTCTGCCATTTAGTGTTGGGCAAGTAGTGTACAGTGGGTTTATCTTAGCTTTTTAACCAAAAACAGCTGTCTGCTGCCACTGAAAATCAACGCGGGTGAAAGCAGTGGACTGAACCGAAACATTAGAGTCGCAGGCAACTAAATAATTAACTAATTATTATGTGCGACCCCTCTCACATAAAAGTAGTCATGTCATCCATTGTAAATATAAAAAATATTGATTACTGCTATATCTTTCAGAGGTGTATAATGCTACACTTTTTCTGGAATGAAGGAACGGTATGTAGATGTGTTCTGAGCCCATTGTAACAAGCACTTACAGCAGTGATGTAGTGGTAATTAAAGTGGAGAACGTATCATCAGCAAGATATTTTGGAAAAACTGACAATACAAACAAAATATAGTATATATATATATATATATAATGAAATTTGCATCCGTCCAGTGCTAATTACTGGAAAATACAGTGTGGATTTATACCATCTTAAAAAGCATGAAAAGCCTTTTCTCAGATAAACATGGGTGTAAAGAGAGTTTAGCTGGGTTTAAAGTACCCCGCAACCTTGACAGTAGCCTCAGGGCAAGCAAATCCTTTCCTCCAACACCTCCAATATGCTAGCTGGAGGTATTCCCTCAACTGCCTCAGTAAACCACAAACATAATCCAAACTGAACACTCCTGAGTGGAGGCTACACAATCTGCAGAGAAAACACCAATGCAAAGGCTGAGGACTGAAAACACTGACTCATTTAAACATGTGCTCATCGCCTTCTGATTTCCATATTACCCAGTTAACACTTGTCAACATGAGTGTATGTGTTTGTGTGTCTGTGTGTGCGTGTTTTAAGAAGGAAATCTACACACAGAGAGCAGTCAGAGGAAAGGCAAGACAGGAGAGTATATGCATGGGAGCTTGTATTCTTTCATTATGTGGGTTATGCTGCAGTGACAAATTTAGAGTGTGTCCTGATTTCCTTGAGTCACTGATCCCAAGATACCACCGGGAGACTCCGAGCACCCTGTCCACACAAAGACCACGGTCACAAAGAGCTGTGACCATGACCACATGTACATGAACACATGCACACAAACAAAAACAGACTGCACAGATGACCTAACCTTCACCACATGGGCTAACCATTTCCTCTCAACACGCACACAAACACAACCACTCTAAACCCCAAACATATAATCGACACGTAGAGGCGGTTTCCCAAACATGGATTACACCACGAGTCGGACTAAACCATCAAGCCAGAGGAGCGTCTCCAGCTCCGTTGAGAACGAGTCTCAGTTTAGTCTAGGATTAAGTATAGCCCTAGTCAAAGTTTGGAAAGGGATTAGGATTAATCTGGAGCCTAGGACAACAGCCCCTGCAGACAC